GGTTTCACAAAACATCATTCAACGAAAGGCCAAAATCTCGAAATGTTGATAAAATTGACGTATTTCCTCCATAAAGTTTGGAAACAGGCCATTATTGATATTAGAGAAACCGCTATTACAATGCGATTAATGACAAAACCAGTGACGTACGCGCACTTACTGAGTTTAAAACTAATATTGAATTTCCTGTGTGTGCCTATGCTCCATTATAACTACAAACGACAAATATTTGTCTGGACACGGGAATCGAATCTGTGAGACATCGAAGACGTAGGCGCCATTACTCAATATTTGTTGTTTGTTGACGTCAGAGAGATTCAAAGTACAAATTCCCATGATAAGATGATAATGCTTAATTATATTTTTTAAGAATGAATGAATGATGCTACTTATTATTATTGTTATATGGACTCTGTAAATTTGAAATGAAAAAAAATCTACATATTATGTCCCAAAACATCTTACATTCAAATCGAAGCTTCTAGCACAGTACATTGACAAAGCCTAATGAAACATTTGAAATTAAGAACGATCATAATTATCTTAATGTTAATTGTCTTGTTAATTTTTCTATCTAACCTCAAAAGTTACACAATATTTTATAATAAAACGTTATGCAACATATTTCTAATTATGTCCCGTCCGCGCGCTCCTCAAGGAGACATCAGACTTCCACAGTTGGGGCCCAATTAGGGCTGCTGCCCGATACGGAGACGTGAATATTAGGGCTCCGGCTCGAAGAGCAGGAGTAGGAACGGGGTGGTTTTTAGTCAGTAAGAGTCTGACACTCCCTCTCGCCTCACCCAAGGCGGAAGAAGTCATTGGATGATTATCCCCCCTTAAAAAAGGCGTATTTAAAATGCATTAGGTTAATATGCCTATTCGTAAATAAGATCATCTCGAAATCAAAAACTATAAATTTTATTAATTTCTTTTAACGCCCACTTACGCCTATCACCTATCAGCTTAGATATACGTGCAACATTCAATCAAAAAAGCGATTTCCGTGTTACACCTTCATAAAAGTATGCATTAATTTGATTTATGAAAACAACAGTACATTAAATAATTTGCATTTTCAACAGAATTGTACGCCCACGTGTAAATGAGAGATGAGCAATTAATCTAAATTAGAGCAATTATTAACCCTTTACCGGTTATTATTCAAAATGTACCCGTACATCAATTCAGCTCGAGCGCCTTCGCTACAGGGTTATATTATTCTCAATTTGTTTGAGTTAGTGGTCGAAATAAAAGTTGTTTAATCAGGTTTCTGTTGTTCTACAGTTTTAATAAGGTTAACCTTTAGAAGTTGTTGTTCACGCTTATTTAATTGTGGGAGATGGATCAGAATAAGTTAGGAAAGTGTGGCAGAACCATGCTTCGGCACGAATGGGCCGGCTCGACCGGAGTGATACCACGGCCTTTTTTTATGGGACAAGCCCGCCACAACCTCCCAAAACTACGGCCTCACAGAAAATCGACGTGAAACAACGCTGGCGCTGTGTCTATGTGTTTCGTCGTGTAAGTTATGTTACCAGACGCCCAATCGCCGCCCCTCCCCCTCCTTCCCCAATTCTAGAATTTCCAAAAATCCTCAAATTCCTAATCCCCACAAGGCCGGTAACGCAGTTGCGTCCATGTAGGCGAAGCAAATTGCTAACTATCAGGTGATCCGTCTGCTCGCTCACCGGCTTATTCCATAAAAAAAGATGATGTTCGTTTGAATAAAGCAATATTAGGCATAGAAAATTGTATTTCATTAAACTTTGCACGGCGTGAGCCATAATGAGAAGGACTATTTATATAAATTACCGACAACATTATGTACATATTGTGCTAATAAATAAAGTTGAATTTATAATAATTAATGATATACATACTTACTAATATTTATTTATATATTGTTTTGATCTCTACTGTAGGTGAAAAAGATACTCATTATGAACACATAATTAATTTTATCTGCGTAAACATACCTTATGTACCGGTAAATAATAAATCAGTTTATGTACCTTTATTCCGTATATTCTAAATTATGAAATGCAGTCATCGGGTTAAAGAGTTCATACCAATAATAAAATTAATTATAATTTAATGTAACTAACAACACCGCATTATGGGCTATTAGAGACAGACAATTTTAATATTGAGTCACCGATAATAATTATTAAGGAAATAATTCCCCCAACAGTACGACTTATGACGTCACTGTGCACGCATAATGAAATGTCACATATTTCTCCAGTCTTGATCATTACTCACTACTCAGACTAGCGATATAATTTCCTACTGACGCCGAAGTGTTCCAATTAAAATACAAACTTCCAGTAATCGACCTTACAATCATAACTTTCAAAAAGCCATTTTGAACTTTAATATAAGTGTGTTGATAATCAAAATTGCATCCTTCACGTCATGTCATAAAGAAAAACTTTTCAAATTTTCTTGTCAAAGTTCTGAGTGACGACAAGATTGATCGTCCTGTCGACACGGAAGAAAAATAGCAATGAAGAGTTTTCATGTTGAAATAGAAGGAAATCGTATAAAGTTGAACATTTTAATATCCTGAAACCTGTTTTAGATTATAAGTTTCAGATCGCCAATACGCCTTAAGCGAGTGTGGTAAATATTGCTCATACGTTTTTCGTGTGAGAAGAGGCCCTTGCTTAGAAAACGCCTCATTGCTGAGCCGTCATCATAACCAACCTAGCCTATCATGATGATATTAATATCTTTATCACAGAATATTCCCTCCTCCTGCCCCACCCAGGTGGAAGAGGCCATTCGATGATTTCTCCCATTAAAAAAAATCACAGAATATTAAAAAATATATGATCAACTTAATTTTAGTATTTTAGCACTTATTTAACAAACAGGTAGGGTTTTTGTCGCTAAAAAACCGTGACGTCACAATACAAAATCTCGTACAAAATTCATAGAAAACTGTCGTTGTTGACAGTTCGAAAAAAGTATTGAATTTGACTAGTTGGCAAGAACTCAATTAAATAATTTAAAAAAAAATAATAAAAATTTATAGAATGAGTTTGCTAGATGAGTTTTCTAAGCTAACAAAATGTAATAAAAGCTGCCTATCCATGTTTGTCCGAATATTTAATAATTTGCCTAGTACATTAACCTCTGGTATGTCGGAGCGCAGATCTAGGTACACAAGACATAGTTCGTTTTCTATTGTCTTAAATACCGACATACAAGAGTTTGAAAATACTTAACCTCAGACTGTTTACAATTAAATTATATGTATGGTTGAATGAAAACAACTTTTATAGCATTAAAGAATTTCTTGAACATAAATAATAATACATAACATAACATCACGCCTTTTATCCATGAAGGGGTAGGCAGAGGTGCACATTACGGCACTTAATGCCACTGTACAATGTAACACCCACTTTTCACTAATAATGTTATTAGTCCAATGTAATAGGGGGTGAGCCTATTGCATTATACCGAGCACAATTTCAGACTCCGTGCTACTACTAAGATTTTTTTAAACCCAGTAATACCTTGCCTGACTAGGGAATTTAACCCGAAACCCATTGCCCACCAGTCACACTTGCGGGCACTCGGCCAACGAGGCAGACATAAATAATATAGAACCTATAACTACGAGTTTATGTTCAAAAAATTTATAAGTTAAAATTAGCATGCTTTATTTATTAAGCAAAACATGATGATCTATAATTATAATCTTAACACTTTTGTATACCATGTTTTACGCAAATAAATGTATTTATCTTTGTCTACTTATAAGAGCATTACCATTCCATATCATACCACATATAACCAAGGTATTTGGTATGCATTATATAGGTTAAAAAATAAAAATTGATTCAGTGCAAATACAGTAATTTCAATTCATGCATTCCAGTAAAAAAAAAATGTATTGTTATAGGTACCTATATTAATGGTACCTACGACAATTTTTTCACCACTCATTTCGCCTAGAGCTAAAACAAAGGCTGCCTGGCCCTTACTTACCGTCAGGTGACTGTAATGCTCATTTGCATATTATTAAAAACATAACCTGACATACATTACAACTTTTACCTATCTCGTGGATGTGTATAGATCTACAACTTCACATACAAATCACATGCAGACCTGGAACACCAACAGCTTTATATTACACAAAGAATTATTCGGCGCGGAAGGTGAATCCGCGAAAAATCCGTTGTCCAGAAACTGGTTAAGCCTCTAGGCTAACCAACTCAGACACACTTCTTAGAATCTACCAATATTAAAACTCCCTACATTGTAATAACATCAAAGCCATATTTTTACATCTACTATTAAGGTATAGTCTACCAGGAGTAGGTCTACATACCTAATTATAATATTTACTTAGCGCATTCCTTCTAGAGGTATTTAAAGTCAACTTTCACTACAATTGCTATTTAAGTAATTGTTCTCATTACTCTAAATCGAACCTATTATATTAAGTACCTTTATTAAAACAACATCACAATATTTAAACTAGAATATCATTGTTAAAATAACGCGTAAATGACTATTATATCGCCGTATTTCATTAATCACCGATGGTTATTATTAATCAAGGCCTCCGAAATGAATCCTAAAAATAAATAAATCATTTTTAAACCATCAACATTAACATACCGAGCAGAGAAAACAATAAGCAGCTATTGTTTCGATATGAAAACTACGGTTTTGTAAACAAAATGATCGAAAGGTAATCGCTAATAGTTCGTTAGTTAAACATCATTTCGGAACGAGTTCACTCATTAACATGCCAGAGGACGTCACTTTAGCAAAACGTGTAAATTAGAAACGGAGTGAAGTTGTTATTGTGTGGACGTTTATCGACTGCGAGAGGTTATCTCATTCGTCGCCGCACAGTCGCTTAAGCTATACTTACTTGTGCAACTATGTGAAATAAAACCGAAATGCGTTTTGTATTCTTGTTATTATTAGTTTTGTGTTTGTTGTGCGTGAGTGTACCTGTGCTGTGCTCCGACATGATCGTCGGCGACACTGTCCATCGGAAAATGATTTTCCATCAGAGGATCAAAGATTTTGCAATACCCTTCAAAAAGAGAGTAAAGACTTTAACGTTTAGTGATCCAGAAAAACGAATGATAAAGGTGAGTTTTATTTTAATATTTAATTTTTTATATTAACAGTTTTTATCTTATAGTAACAGTTTTAAATTCCTTTTTCATACCTTATTTATACAAGTGTTAATAAAGACTGTTGATATTTTACTTTTATAATACGGTAAATTGCCACTGAACTATAACTATACACTTTAATATTTAAGAAAATTAATTCTATACACCTAGTATTAAACAACAATTTGCTATTTCGACGTGTCGAAAATTTTAATAAAACTAGCTTATTGGGTATAAGTTATTTAAACAAACAAAACAAGATTTTATAAAATGCAGTTCTAGATGATTCGCATTTTTTAGTGATGTCGTAAGTCGTTTTGTTTCTTGACCAGATTATTTTTCCTTATTTCAAAGTACAATGTTCAATATCAACGTCAGCATTCTTTACAAAAAAACTGCTGCACACAAAAATGAATCGTAACACAAACACAAAAAGTATGTTATTACGAAACCTAATCGCTAATGTAACATGTTTTGCGCTAGAATTTTCTTTCACAATTGCTTCCTAATTTACAGACTTTTATAACGACCTATTCGGTCAAGGGTGACAACATAATCTGAGTTAGATAATATTGTTTTGTAAATATCCTAAGATCGAATTTGTTAATAACTAATTTGAATTTTATACGTTAGGCTGTTATGTTCTATTTGCATTGGCAATCACTATCTAGTTTGCATTTCTAAAGGACAAATGTCATTTCCTGTATGAAGATAGAATGGGTCATTAAATTGATATGAATTTATGTGAATACCCTTTACTTAAGTACTTTGAAGCAAATACATAAGCAGATATAGTGAAGAATAAATTATGAGTGGTATTTAAAATCCTCAAAAGAAATGGTTTTATTTTTTTTAATTAAAAATGTGCCTTTGTCTATACAGATGAAGAAAATTGGAGTGTCAGTTTGTAATATTAAAATAACCGCTTTTTGCTACGTGCATATGAATATACATACATCAAAATACACACACATCGAAATAATATTTTTTACAATTTTTGTCTGTATGTCTGTTTGTACCGGCTAATCTCTGGAATGGCTGTACCGATTTTGCAAAACTTTTATTGGCAGGTAGCTAATGTACTAAGGAGTAACTTAGACTACTTTTATTTTGGAAAATTGAAACAAAACAAAAAGTTATGCCCTAAAATTCATATTCTACGCGAACAACAGATAATAAGACGGTTTATTAAACAAAAAGAACCGTTATTACAAAGATAATGCATATCTAATAAAGGAATATAAGAATTGTTATCAAAACAAACGTATGACCTGTGTCTAGTTCGTAAGCAAAACACGAACAAAGCGATGGAATGGTCAAAACAACACAGATTAATCGAAACGTATTAACTTTTCATTATGACTGAATTCGAGTTCTATGCAACAAAAAGCGAGCTTGTAATGCACATGAAGTACAATAATTCTAGATTTCTGAAAACTTCCCTAATAAAATCTTCAATAATTAATGACCTATACCTTACTTTGTTATATTGGTATTGAAGTTAAGAATACCAGTCGATCGATGGTCTGAGTGGTCTCCGGACTTTAGTATATTATTTCTATGTAATAATTTTTTAATAATATACATATTTGAGCGCACTTACCTAAACAACAAACAGTAGGTACACATATGCGACCTTTGTTTATACTTAGTATTGTGGTTTTAAATATTGAATTTTAATATACACATGCCAAACTTAGAATTTTGCGGTTTACTTTGTGAAGTCAGCGCTAAGTATAGAAATAAAAATAGCATAAAGTAAATACACCATTTGTTATTCCCCGAAAAAGTAGACTTAAATAATTCTAGAGTACATCAATTTAACTCGTCGAGTACCGGTTTTATAGACACAATTAAAGAACAATAGGTCGCGGTCACCGGTGACCGCTTGGTGTTTGACAGATTAAATAAAAAACGAAAAATATCTTGATTTTTCGTTTTTTATTTAAATCGATGTCCCACACCCTAGTGTGGTTTGGAGAAAATCCTAATTTTCTCCTGTTTACAAATGTACAATTTTACATACACATGACACCCAGACCCGGAATAACAATATGTGGATCGCACAAAGAGTTGTTCTGTACGGGAATCGAACCCGCGACACGTTGCTCGCTACCCAGTTGCCTAGTTACCGCGCCAACCGTGTCGTCCCGCTTTTGACCTGACAAAGATATTATACGTAGGCAGTTTTAATTCGTTAGACCAAAAAGTTACTTTCTAATTCCTAAACATAGATTCCTATGGATACGATAGAACTTAATTTATATTTTCTTGTTTACAGGGTGTAGCAGTGGTGGATAATGACTTCTCCCATGCAAGTGCCAATATAACTGAAGGTGGAGTAGGATATTCTTACGTCACAGTTCGAATGAAAAGCCAGAGGCATCACCCTCTAAACTTCGAAATGGAAATATACGTCTAGTCAGAGACGGGATCTGATCACAAAGGACTGTACAAACAGCTTTAAAATCTAACACGGTGAAGTGACGGGACACTGATGTGCTAAATGATGCAATACTTTTAGCAATAGTTATAGAAATAAGTGTTAATAAGGATCATATTAGCTTAACTGTTTTCCTTTGTAATTTTATTGATCTGCCACCAAATATAATTAGCATCTTATTAGTCATTTCAAAACAAGGATTGGTAATCTTTTGTGAATATAGTCTCTCTATTAGGTAAGAATGCCAAAAGTTAATGTAATGTTTAGTTTAGTAAGAACTATTGTGTATTTGTATACAGCAAGGTACTGATGCCAAAGGAGAAGGGTATCCCTATAGCGGGATGACTAAGCGACAACGCCGTCTCGCCTAATGTCACTATTAGTAGCAGACGACAATATTGTCATTTAGTTTGTAGGCTAACACCATTAGTTGATACCATTCAGTAAATGTATAAATGAACTATGTATGATTCACTATACAAACTATAAATAGATTTAAAACGTTTGGCACATTTTTGTTTAGATTTGGGGTAATCTGAATGCTTCTCATTGTTAATGATCTTGTACCTATTGTTCAGAGATCTAAAGAATCAAAACAGAATAATCAGGCTAAATATATGCTTCTATACAATAGTACAAAGTAAATAGATCTATCAACAATGAATTGTTCTCAAAAGAGAAACAAAACATTTTATAGAAAGCTATACTAAAACACTTTTAGTCTTCAATTCCAATAATGAATAATATAAATATTTTAAACATTCAGTGTAGTTGTAGAAACCTATCGTCCGCTCAATCAGTTGGTTCCATTAACAGGTAGGCACTTGTTGGTTTATTATGGTTTAATGGGACAAGTGCCAAAGTAATACCAAGTCACTTCGTCCATATTTGGCTTTAGGAAAACGATTGTTTCAAAACAATAGATCGCCATATAGTGATTGATGATAGTTCTAATAAACAAATGCACATTACCCACGTACTATTGTTGATGTTTAATTACATTGGAATGTGTTCTTGAGATGTTTAGTACTACATTGAGAGCTTGTCTTGTCAGTTTATTTGTAAGCGAGTGAACAGGCGTACTAATAAACTAACATTTTCATACAACACAATGTCTTCTGATAGTAAAGACGTTTTGATATCTATGAGTTCGACTTAGTAAGAACATAAGACAGTAACTTTCAAAGCGAAGAATATTTTCATTTACGTTTTGATAAAAGTGGCTCAGACAACAAGATTAACTAGCGTTTCAATTAAAAGCATAGATATTTTTCTAAACGACAACCTTTCGTTTAACAGGTAGCCTTAATTATATCGAGGTTTTTCCTTAAACAGCTGAGCAAATATTAGACATTTTACAGACGTATTTCATGACGTGATTGGTTTAATGCAGTAATTTGTCCTGATTTTATAAGTTGGAAATAGGTAAGTAGGTATCGAATCCTGGCATCATTCGGTCAAAGAGCTAGACTGTAAATTGAAAGGCTATTTAAACTAGTTGACTGACACGTACCTGCATACTTCACTCCTTATAATTTGTCGATCTTCCCGTATAAACGTTTTTCTGACCAAAATTTTAATCGTATTGTAATATTTTAGGGATTTATTTTAGGTATGCATAAATAAGCTATCATTTTTATATGAAATAACAATCAGTCTCTTTCCCTACGTGATACAATTCACTAAACATACTTGTTTATGTAACTTCTAACTACTCGGAGTACATTCTGGAATGTTTGCTGTTTATATTTACATTGTCTTAGATGATAAACATTGAGATGCGTTCATGGTCATGTTTACAACTAGAACATAGCAAGATCACCCATCTAACTATGATCTTATTCCGGTGCCATAGAGGCTGTTTTAGTGTGAATTTTGTATATGAGTGAATCAATAGTATTGTCTTGTCAATAACTGTTTCGTATTTACTAATAACAAAATAGATTATAGTATAAGATTTTACATTAAATTGAAATAGGAATAATTATTTAACGAATGTTTAACCTTCCTTACGCTCGTTCGTAAGTTAGTGGCTAACAGTTCGTTATTAGGAACTATTTTAGTAATAAGTATTTTTAAGTTAGTATATTATCATTGGTCGCAAGTGCAACTAGCTAGCGTAAGGGTTGAATTCTCAAATCAGGCTATTAAATTAATTAATGGGTAGGTATCCTCTTCAAAATTCTCACTTACAACTGAGTCTGTAATTGTAATAGATTCGTTCAATATTAAAATCTAATTATTGCATAACATAATTGGAGAAAAGGTATTTTAATGTAATAATGTTTGTTTGGTTTCAAAGGTTATAAAAAATGTTATCAAGGGTTTAGATTACGTAGTATCAAATTGTTAATAACTAAAAGCTGTTTTTTGGAACAAACTGGCTAGGTAGGGTATGGGCTAGGTGCTAAAAATAAGATCTATAATTAGGCAATACCAATAATGTTCTGTTTAAGGAATATTATATAAACAAAATTGGTGTCTAGAACTGTTATATCATGCATAATTTTATCATAGATATTATAATATATTGCCTTATTTATTAGGTAATACGTTCAAAAGATATAATCTTATTGAAATAAGAATGTTATATGAATTATTAATAGTTCCTTGAGTTATGTTTATTATGTCAAACTGTATAAATAAATATTATAATAATGTTGTGTAATCTAAATACAGAAGTTGTTTGAATATGAAATAAATGTTTAATTGGAATGTTATATTTTATTATTCAACAATTCGGCCTACTTCGTTATATTAAAATTTATATTTGATTTTATATGTTTATACATGGTTTTGTCACATACGAGGTTTCAAATTTGCTTATAGCTCGCGTGTTGGAAAGTTATTACTGTATTATAAGTATGTTTGCCAGAGTCTGTATTTCCTGAAGGGTGTCTTCAAGGCCCAATTGAAGGCCCGAGTGAATAGGTTGCTTATGGGATGATGTGTTCCATCGTAAACCACATCATCGCTCACCACCAGGCGAGATAGTGGTCAAACATTGGACCATCAAATTATATAAAAAAACTTAGTATTCCACCAAAATTTTGCTACATGTTATTGATTTCTTAGTTAAACACAATAGCAATTGAATTGGTACTTGATTATATACAAATTAGAGCACACGAAAATATGCTTTATTATTCATCCAGTAAAATTACACTCACTTTCGTTAGGCAAATAGAATTCAATTTCATATGCTTGTGCCCTTTTAAAAGTGACTTCTAACTACTGAAAAGGTGGTATTACATCATGGACTAGTTGTTTTTTCCTCTGCTATGTCTGGCTGTCGTGGATTTAAAAAAAAACGATGTTTTTAAAACATCAACTTTTTAAACCATCATGTTCACATAGTGGCGGACAGCTGGCCCATTGCCAAACCGTTGTTAATAACCAATTTCCCGCCATTCACTCTTTCAATATGCATTGGGTGTCAGACTGCATTCTGAGCAGATTTTTAACAATTCATAAATATTTGCATTATTGATTTATGATGATCGAGCTGAGAGGAAAATTATATTATAGGTAGGCTTGTTTAAGGTAAATTGGTTTATTAAATTATTGACTGTCCTGGAATTTGCTCACATGGAAAGTACCAATTTCCTTCTTCGAACTTCTAATTATGTACCCATGCTTATATCGCGATGTCATCTCTAAAAACGCAGTCTTAAATGATATGTAATCTATACTAATATTATAAAGCTGAAGAGTCCGTTTTTTTGTTTGAACGCGCTAATCTCCGAAACTACTGATTCGAATTGAATAATTATTTTTGTGTTGGATAGTCCATTTATGAAGGAAGGCTAAAGGCTATAAAACATCTCGCTACGACCAATAGGAGCCGAGCAGAGCGGGTGAAACCGCGAGCAAGTAGCTAGTATATAATATCTACTAAAAATATTATATTACATTACAAAATTATACTTTAAGATACCCAGTTACATGTCTATACCATTATTGATATTTACTATTTGACTGCACGGTTGGCGCGGTGGCTGGGCAACTGGCTGCCGCGCAACGTGTCGCGGGTTCGATTCCCGCACGGAACAATTTTTTATGTGATCCACAGCTCGTTGTTCCGAGTCCTGGGTGTCATGTACCTACATGTGAACTTGTATGTTTATAAACGCACCCACGACACAGGAGAAAATCCTAGTGTGGGTCGACGTTTAAATAAAAAAAATATACAATCTTTAGGAACAAAATTCCAAATACGAACCAACAATATTTTTAGATTTAATTTCTTTTTTCGCCTCTTGCTACTCATACACCATTCCATATTATTTTCTTTACGTAGAACCATAGCAGTACCTACATGTTCACCATAATACACCATAGTTGATAAGCTACATATCCTGCATAATTCCATAACATATGATAAGCCAATTCCCATCACGTAGCCCGTCCTTTTCGTTGATGTTAATTTCACGCCCGTCAATCCTGGTACACATTGTCGTTTACTGGTGAACAGGAATTTTCTTTATTATACGTATTATAATAAACCAAAATACTCCATATTATCCTGTCACTTTGGTGAAGAATTTTAATCTAAATTGGCCGTTTGAAAACCTTTGTTTTGGTTGAGAATTTACAAACATTTGAATATACTATCTACTTTATTGTATCATACACTTCATTCATGTAAGTATTATTAGCGTTCAGTCGCGTCAAGGTAACTCAACTACTTTCGAGCCACAATTGGGGTCCATATTGATGGCAGAACTGCATGAAAAAAAGTGGCGAACGGCGAGGGACACTAACAAAGAGATGGCGCAACTCTAAGCGCGTCAATCAGTCAGTCAATAGTCAATTAATTGGTTTCTCTGTAATTACATGGACACAATGAGCAGTACTAGTCATCGCAACTCTGACTTCGTCTACGGATAAAAAAACCACATCTATGTTAATAAATGGCCACAACCATAGAAAATAAGTGCTACAAAAGAAAATAACATGGTAAGCGTTTTATCCAAAAG